GTCTGGTGGGCCACCGGCCACCTAGAAGGTCCCCATGCCACACTCACTCCCCACTGGTGCTTTGATTACCAAAATAACCCCGTGCCCCACAACCTGCCTGGCACTGTCCCTCCGCGCCCAAACCTGGGCACAGGCGCTACTCCTGGGGGGCCAAGCAGGGCAGGGAGCAGACACGGGCATTTGCACGTATCCACAGGATTTCCCGGCCGCAGGAAACGCGCCTTAAGCCCCTTCCCCGTCCTCTCGGAGAGAACGAAGCCGGGATGGCGAGGGACGGGAAGCGGGACCGGACCGGGACCGAGGAGAGCTGGACCGGGGGGCGGAGCCTGGGCCAGAAGGGGCGGAGCCTGAGCACAAAAGGGGCGGAGCAAGGAAAGGCGTGTGCATACGCTCCCTGTGGGGGCGTGGCCTCAAGGGGGCGTAGCCTGCAGGCGCCGGCGGTATAAAATGGCGGCGCCGGCACCACTCCCGTAGCCCGCCCTTGCCGCTCCGCCTTGAGCGTCTGTCCCGGCTTCCGACGGCAATTCCTGCTGCGCCACAGCCATGGCGGCGCTGACGGTGAAAGCCTACCTGCTGGGCAAGGAGGAGGCGACCCGCGAGATCCGCCGCTTCTCCCTGCCGCCGCCCGCCCGCTACCGCGCCATCTATGACCGCGTCGCCGAGCTCTTCCAGGGGCTGCTGCGGGCCGGGCCGCCGCCTGCCTTCCGCATGCACTACAAGGGTGAGCGGGGCAGGGGGGCTGCGCTGCGGGACGGGCCCCGGGAGGGTGTCCCGGGGGTGGGGGTGTCGGGGCGCTGCGGCCTCGCTGCCCCCGCGCCGTGACCCCCGGCCCCGCCCCTCACCCTGTGCTTCGCCCTTCCCAGACGAAGAAGGGGACCTGATCGCTTTTTCCTCCGACGAGGAGCTGGAGCTGGCGATGCCCTACGTGCGGGATGGCGTGTTCCGTGTGTACATCAAAGGTAGGGCCCGCGCAGCCCCGGAGGGCACCGCGGGGCTCCGGCTGTGCGCTGGGCTGGAGGGGCTCCCCAAGTGGGAGCAGCCAGCCCTGGCCCTTCCCCTTATCCTCGAGGGCCTGGTGGGAGCTGCGGCCTTGCCGAGGGAGGGTAAATAAAGGGCAGAGCAGTATGACAGAATGTGAATCCTCCCTGATGGGGATGGGGGTAAGCAGATCACAAGTTTCCTCCCAGCCCTGTCAGCCGGTCCAATGCGAGCTGCTGTTGTCATCCCGGCTCCCTAGGCACGCTGAGCTGGCATTGGTACCTTAAATAGTCACAACAATGTGTTAGGAAGCCTTAATTCCAGCTTTTTCAGCGCAGAATAGCTCCCTAGTCCGTTTTGTTCAGGTGGATACCTGCAAAGCTTTATCTGCAGCCTATCTAGTGAGTCACACCAGCCTGGGGCTGTTGTCCCCATTCTCGTGTTGTGCCTCTTGGCATACGCCTTCCTAACTCCCTCTCCAGACACATTCTGTTCCTGCAGTGCTTGGGAAGGTAGGATGAGAAGCCAGATAAGGTTGTGCAGTACTAATCTAAAATAAACATGCCAAGAGATATTTAGGATAAGCAATGATTGGTTTCAGGGCCAGGTATCTTTTTGAAACCTCTTTGCACTTGGTTTAAGGTCTCCCTTGTGCCCTCAGCTTGTGTTTGGCAGCCAGTGTAAAAATAAACTGACCTAGTAAGTTAATACTGCTCTGACAGGGGCTGGTTGTGCTTCCTCCTCTGCCTGATTTCCAGCCTGTAAATAGCAACCTATTCTTGATGGAAAGTTCCCTTTCCCTAACAGAGAAAAAGGATTGCAAGCGGGAGCATCGCTCGCAGTGCAGCCAGGAGCCCCCCCGCAACATGGTGCACCCCAACGTCATCTGTGACGGCTGCGAGGGACCCGTGGTGGGCACCAGGTTCAAATGCAGTGTCTGCCCAGACTATGACCTGTGCAGCACCTGTGAGGGGAAAGGCATCCACAAGGATCACAACATGGTGATGTTCCAAAGTCCGCTGCTGAATCCGTTTGAGGTGAGCAAAATCTACGGAGGGGAACTAATGAGTGGGGTATTCCTCAAATTTAAGCCACGAGTTTCAGTTACTCAGCATCTGGCTGTGTGGACAGTGTGACACGAATGTTACCCTTCACAGTGGCTTCCCCGAGGACGCTGGCTCCGTAAAATGCGGCACGGCGTTCCACCCTTCCCATGGATGCACTGCTGGGGGTATCCTGGGCCTGCACCTCCGTGCCAGAACTCCGGGCAGGCCGAAGCCAACACTGCAGCCCCCAGTGCACCTGCTGCAGAAGGTAAGAGGAGATGCCCTGGTAAGCAATGTGGTGGTGGAGCCAGGCTAGCTGAGGTTCTGCAGCTCTGGTGGGAAGATAGACATGGGAACTAACGTAATTTGCTTGAAATAATTAGCACCTTTCAGCACAGAGTGGGATTACTTTAAGGCATGCTTGGGCCCATGCAATTGATGAAGATGCAGATAAGAGTATCTGGAACTGAACCAAACCAAGCCAAGCTGTTAGGTCAAGCATGTCACTGCCTTCCAGCATGGCTAATGAGCCTTAACAATGCTAATGTTGGCTTTGTGTTCCAGAGGTAGCTCAGAGTTAGTTTTTGTCTCTGTACTGCCTTTGTTGTGCAGTGTATGTGAGTGACAGGAAGGAGCACAAAGCTGTCATGGGGACACACACTCTGTAGGTGCTTTTTCCCTCTGAGCTTCTGTGTGTGCTAACAGAAATTGTTTTTCTAGAAGCTTCTACTAACAACCAGCCTCAGGACCCCAACGTCACCTTCCTAAAGAATGTTGGGGAGAGTGTTGCAGCTTTTCTGAGCCCCTTGGGTAAGTGACTTAGTTTGTTACCAGGTCAATCCCTGGGACTGGCTTAAAGGTCTGTTTAACAGGAGCAGCAGTCAGCTGTTGTGACTAGTATTAGAACTACCTCATGCCTACTAAGCCTCAAAGGCTTAACTTACACCTGGTACTAATAATGCCTAAGCTTAGAACAGCCACTACCTTTTCAGAGCCCTCCCTTGGTAGAAAATGAGGCAAGACTTCATTAACATATGAGCATTGGAACATGAACTTTAAGTCAGTGGTCACTCTGGATTTTGCCTGGCTTATGTGGACATAGATACAATTCTGCCCTGGCTCTTTAAATATATGGCTTGTCTGTGTAGAGCAAGATGACTATTAGGTGCTTAACTGCTCTTTATTTAGAGAAAACTATTCTTTATTTAAAGAAGGCTTTGCATTTTAATTACTACATGTTATATGGCAAACTGTAGCATTGCAGAAGCCTTAGAGTGTAGAGCGGGACTGACCCACGCTCATTTAGGACTGTGCTTTGGAAAAAGCTCTACGACTTTGCCTCTCAAATGCATTTCTAGGTATTGAGGTTGATATCGACGTGGAACACGGAGGACAGAGAAGCAAAGTGACTCCCACTGCTCCCAATCAAGAGAACAGTGGTGAGGCAAACAGCAGTGCTCCAGCCCAGAACGGTCAGACCAAGCCAGACTGGAATAACACAGACTCTGCTACAGAAGTAAATGTTGTTGCAGAACAGATACAGGACATGGTGATAGATCCTGTGCCCACACAAATGGAAGATGGCCCCTTCCACTCCCAGGTACAAGAACTATGACACTAATTTAATAGTGCTGGCTGAGGCTTTGCTAGAAAGGAAGATAGTCACTTGGCATGCACTGTGGAATTGAATATTAAGATGACAGAAGATTAAGTGATATACAACACCTTTACAGGTTTACAGCAAAGGTGGTGGGATGTCTCGTGCATGTAGTTCTTTATATTAAAGGCAGATAGTAGGAGCATGTATCCTGCCTGGAAAGCACTGCAGCACCTGGACCTGGTGTTTTTTTCATTTCAGGAACACAGTGAGTCCAGCAGTTCATCAGGGGGTGAGGAAGACTGGACCCACTTATCATCCAAAGAAGTGGATCCTTCCACGGGTGAGCTGCAGTCTCTGCAAATGCCAGACACAGATGGTCCCAGCTCCCTGGATGTACCTCGGGAGCCTCCCCAGCCAGGACCTACAGGACTGCGAGAAGCTGCTCTCTACCCACACCTCCCACCAGGTAGGAGAAAGGTGCAGGTTTCACAGCTGAGAGTAACTTTCATTTGAAAACGCTGATCTGTTTTAGAGGTGGTAGGAACCAAGGTCATGTTAGTTACAGCTAAACCTGTCCCTGACTGTTGGCAGGTTTGGCAGCTCTTGCACGCTGTTAGAGACAGTCAGGTGGTTCTTCTCTTGAATGTGGGCAGCTAAGTCTTAACAAGACTTCTGACCTTGGGCTAATGTGCCATTTGAGCAACACGACAAAGGTGCTGTCCTGAATCATGTCCTTGCTATGTCCTGTTCAATGCAGCATGTGGACGACTAGTGCTCCCCGTGGCTTTAGGGCATGTTTTTCTGATGGGAGCCAGTAATACTATCCAAGGCCCCTTAACTGAGATCAAGAGCAGAGAGTCCTACAGCAGGGCCAGCTGATCCTCATTCAATTGTTTTCTTAGCTCTGGTTATGTATCATTTATCTCAAATGTTGGCGCTCCTGAGGGACAAAAGAGAGCATTTCAGTGGAGATTTGTGCCACCCACTTCCTGTGTGGTATTAGAGCCTTGGCTGCTTTACTGATTACATGTAATAGTTGAACTCTAAACCATTTTTCTCTTCACAGAAGCAGACCCTCGCCTCATTGAGTCCCTGTCCCAGATGCTCTCCATGGGCTTCTCTGATGAGGGTGGATGGCTCACTCGACTCCTGCAGACAAAGAACTGCGACATTGGGGCAGCACTAGATGCCATCCAGTACTCCAAGCAGCCACCTCACTTGTAGTAGTAACAAAAAGCACTTTTCTAACTGAAAGAAGACAATATAACAAGTCATTGCAGTACATCTTTTCTTCCTGCTAAGGGTTTCTGTCTCATGTTCTTACGTGCTTGTAGAATTAAGGAAAAATAAATACTACTGCATGTGATGTGTCTGTGTGAGAGTTTCAGTATCACAGCTTTATTGCTTTACGTACTGTAACTTAGTTAACAGAGTGGAGGGACCAGGCTGAAATCAGCCTAGGGCTGCCTTTTTGCACATACTTTGCACACTTAGGGCTACACTTACGAAAGGAAATCCAGTGCTTTGCTGGCTCTGCAGCTCTGGAAGAAAGGGTTGCTATGGGAGATCTAAACAAGGATGTAGTCCAGGGGAAAAGAGCTGTGATTTTGTAAGGAGGAGTTAATCACAGTATGTAATTGTACTGGCAAGGAGTCCTTAAACCCTGGGAGCTTTCTCCCCACAAACTGACCTACTTCCATTCCTATTTCTGGCTGCTGAGGTTGCTAGACAACACTGTAACCTGAGAGCAATGGTCCCTCCCCCCCAAACACAACCATAAGGCAAGTAAACAACTTTAATAGTGTAGTTCTAATAGTGGCTTAGAGTGAAGCCACCTTCAGTTAAAAATTGTGCCTCAGTACTTGACATACATTATAGAGACAAGAAAGCAATGCCAAAGATGTCTGAACTTCTCAGAGATCATCATCAAACTCCTCACCCGTGCAAAAGAGTTTTTCACAAGAAATGTTGCTCAGCTTTGGCCCGGGGTTGGAGTTAACAAGAGTATTTGCCCTCCTGGTGTTAACCAAACAGCAGCTTCCTGCAGTAGTTTCTGTCTGACTCTGAGGTTCTTTGGACACATCCTCAGTTGAGCATCTGGTGCTGGGCAATTTCATAGCCAGACCCTCAGTGCTGGCAACACACTTTTTAAATTTAAAGCCTGTACCTTGAGGCAAAGGTCCTCCAGCCTGTTCTGAGCATCTCCTGCCTCCACCAGCACCTGCTGCAGTGGTGCTGTCCAGCCCCAAACCTCCACTGCCCCCCCACAGCGATGAGGTCACCCCAGCAGTGTTTTCACTGGAGTTGTCAGAAGATGAGAGAAATTTCCCCCACTTCGATGGTCTGGCACAGGTGGTTGGGGGTTGCGTGTTGTCCTCAGGCACTGCAGCCTCACAGACAGCAGGAACCACTCTGCCTCCAGAAACAGCATCTCTGTCATCCCCATCAGGCACTGCTGCAAAGCACTTCTTGCGCTGTAAGAAGGAAGAGGGCTTTGTTATAAATCCAGCACGCAGGGCCAGTCTGCACAGGAGCACTAAAGGTGGCATTGGCTTTGCCTGACTGAAACCTTCCAGAGAGAAACCCCCAACACAATTTTCTTCTCCCCAGTCATTCAAATAGAAGAGCAGAGAAAGACTCATAAAAATTCAAAATTATGATGACACAAAAGAGGTCAGGAGAACACTGTTTTGTTTTACTGGTCAGAAGCATCTTCTACGGCTAAAATACCTCAGTGGTTTTAATCTTTTTGGCTTGGTAGACAGACTGGAAAACTCCATTTTCTTCTGCATGCTCCAGAACATCACTGGAGAGGAAGCTCTTCCGATGTTTCCTGGCCAAGAAAACCATTCACAAAGAGGACAGATTAGCTCCACTTTCACAGATCACCAGAGAAGTTCATAAAATGCAGGGCTCTAGCAATAAGAGAAGTTTTATCCCCAAACACCAAACCTTTGCTCAGCTCAGGTCATACACTGCAACCTGTATTTTGTTCAGCTCTCAGAGATGAGCTGCCTCCCACACCTCCAAAACAAGTGTCACCACTCAGGGGCAGGAATTGCAAAACAAAGTTCTCTCTGTACCTTTGTTCTCCCACAGCGTTCTTCTTCTGGGAACAGAACTGTTGCCTTGCTAGAGCTGCCTCCTCCTCCCCATCTTCCTGATCCTCGCTCTCCTGGTCCAGATATTTGCTCCAGCGACTCCCTTCTAACGTCTGACTTCCCTCCTACAACATTGGAGAGTGACAGAAAACACCAAAACGCGGGGTTCTCATTTTTGGCATTGTTACACATGCACTGAATGCCTCAAGTGAGTCAGTTCAGGACACGTCCTTGTATCGTGTTCCCAGGTTCAGTTCCCAGTGGAGCAGAGTTTCTGTGTACATCTCATTCTCCCTCTGCAGGGGCCTCTCTGATTCTATCACCATTTCAGCTGTCTGAACCATAGAGAGGGATCACTGGTTTCACTGGATTCACCTCAGACAGAATTGGTTGGTATTTACCTCAGCTTTGTAGGGATTTTACCTGCTGGACCAAACTGTCCTCTCGTTGTGCTGCTCTGGTTTTGCTGTCATTTACAGAGTCTTCTATGCACCTAAAACAGAGGTTTAAACTATAATTTCTAGAACACACTCTTGTCTGTTGATTCACAGGCTTCAAATCACCCAGTTATATCACAAGGGACTGGACAGAAAGCATGGATAGGGACAGTGTATAGGAGGCACATCTGAAAAACCAGGATCTACATAAAAGCTGATGCCAAATGAAGAACTTCCAATATATACTGACAAATACTTGAAAAAATCTGGTTAGCATGTAACTCTTTCTACACAAATACTTTGATCTAAAGCCAATAGTCATGAAATGACAAATTCTAATTGAGCATAACTAGGGATATAACAGCATTTCTTTGGGCCAACAGTTTGAACTCACTAATTATATCCCAAGAAACCAGGCAAAAAGGGAAATTATTTTGCAATGTTTTGAACTTCACAATTTTTTGAGAATAAAAATAGCAACCCTCTTTGATAAAGTGAACAAACAATGAGTTTTCTTCCCCGAGCTTAACCCTGAAGCACTGTGTACACACAACTAAGTTATGTAACTACCTTTGATTGACTTCTGAAAATAACCTCAAGTAAAAAGGAAGCTGGACCAGTTCAAGACCAGTTCAAGATTAAACGATTTATAAAGAGATTAAAGAATGAAATAAACAGGAAGGTGCTACTCAGATTTTCCAGCCCAGCAGGAATTACACAGAAATCTTTGTGCTAAACAAGTCTTTTATCAATAGCAGCAGTGATTACTCAACAGATTCACAGTGTGAACCCCCTAAATGCCAACAGTTAGGCAGAGTGGAGGATGTTTTCTTTCTGAGGATGTAATCTGATAAATGGACATCTCCACAGTCAGGTCATCAAACAGTACATAAGAAAGAGCAAATAAAAAAAAAAACCAACAACCAAACAAAACTAAAAAACAACACAACAAATCCAAACTCTATTGCATATATATTGATGGGTAAAGGCCTGACCAACACATGCTATTGATCAACCAAACTTATCTGAAAAAAAGTCCTTGTGAAAAGAAACATGCTGGGACACTTAACTCAATGAAGAGCTTGTTCCTTTGAGGTGAGGACAAACCTGGGTTAGGGTTCACAACAGGCCAGAAAACCCTCCTGTGAGTTCACACTGGGTAACAGGCAGCCCGTGTGTATGTGCATCAGCTGCAGCACATTAAAACAAATACACCGATAAAGATTAAACACTGTACCAAGATGTCCAGCCAAGCGCTTCCTCTGCCTCTCCCTGCAGCAAGTTTAACTTCTGGACGTGGTGCCTGCAGTCCGGGCCGGAGCCCTGCCCGTAAACCTGCAGGGAACGAGCGGACACGGGGCGGAGGGAGCAGGTGAGGGGAGGGAACCCCCGGGGCACCCCTGAGCTGGGATGCGCCGGGCGGGGCCGCCCTCACCTTCTGCACGGCCTGCCGCTGCCCGCACACGCTGCAGCTCCACTTCCCGCCGCGCTTGACCTGCGAGGGCGCAGAGGGGTCAGTGAGGGGTCAGTGAGGGGTCAGGACGCGCAGCCCCCGTCCCATCCCATCCCATCCCACCGGGTGCACTTGGAAGCGGCGGCAGCGGCAGCACCGCAGGACCCGGAACTGCTGCGCCATCGCGGGCACGTGACCGCGCGGGCACACAGCGCCCCCCGGCGGCGGCACCGCGGGGGGACCCGGGAGGGGGACACGGGGAGGGACAATCCCGAATAAACACATCCACGAATAAACGCATCCACTCACCGCCCCGAGCCGCCCCCACGCAATAAGACTCCCCGCAGCGCCGCGCAGGGCTTAATATAAGTCAGAGGGCAGGCTGGCTGTGAGTTAATACAAGTAAAGTTCTCCCAGGAGGGAGAACGCGTCGTGTTTGAAGCGACACAGTCACCAGGGTTGCACCTACCTGAAACTGTGTCAGCCTGTGTTATATAAAAAGTGTTCGGAATAATGATAAAAAGGAGGGAAAAGAAGAGGGGGGAAAGAAAGGAGAGGAAAGAAAGGGGGAAAAGAAAGAGGAGGAAAAAGAAAGGGAGGGAAGAAAAGAGGAAGTGAGGAAAGAAAGAAAAAAAAATGAAGAAAATAAAGAATAAGGAGGGGAAAAAAATGTGAAACCAAAAATGAATAAGAAGAAAGAAAGAAATTAAGCAAAAAGGAAAGAAGGAAGAAAAGAAGGAAAAGAAAGGAAGAGGAAAGAAGGAAAGAAAGAAGGAAAAGAAAGGAAGAGGAAAGGAGGAAGAAAAGAAAAAAGGAAAGAAGGAAAGAAAGAAGGAAAAGAAAGGAAGAGGAAAGAAGGAAAGAAGGAAAGAAGGAAGGAAAGAGGGGAAAAAAGAAGGAAAAGAAAGAAGGAGGAAAGAAAGAGAGAAAGAAAAGAAAGGACTGCAGTTCCACCAAGTCTGCTCTTTTCAATAACCACCCTGAACAAAGAACCAGCAATATTTCATGAGCTCAGAGAAATAAAAGGCAGCCTAATAGCCTGTAGGATTCTGGTTCATTTATTGAATACATGACAGATAAGACAGACAGTGTAAAATCACATGTATTATTTGTACTTTAAAAAAATTACAATAAATTACTGAATAATTAGTAAAAGCAGTTTACTAATGGCTGCTCTCCAGTGATACAGGACAGAGGAGGCAGAGAAATAAGAAATATGTACCAGCTGTGAATACACACTGAGAATGTCACGAGGATGAATTAACACTGAGTAGCACACCGAGTAGTGTTAAACGGGAACATCCACGTACGTGTCCTTCCTACCCTTACATTGTATGTGTCCTTCCTACCCTTTTATTCCAAATGCCAGCCAAAAGCTGGATCAAACCTTGCCTTCAGTGCGGGGTCTGCCCTGGCTGAGCAGCAGCACCTCTCCCCCTGGCCCTGCAGGGTCACTGCCTGCGTGCTGAGATGAGTTTATCTGTAGTAACACCATTAATTCTGCTTCCTCAGAGCACATGCCCTGCTACCAGAAGGGCAACTTCTAGTTTCCTCTGGTTTTAATTGATTTAAAAGAGCACTCCCTCAGTCTCCCAGTTATTCTGACTCTAACTGGAAGGAGATCTAGTGTGGGGGTTTCCCATAGCGGGCTGATGGCAGAGGGCCACGCTGCTCTGAATTCTTTCTCTTTGGGTATAAATGCCCTTGGATGTGCAGGAGTTTCTAAGAGCATGTCCATTGCTAGACTTCAGAAAGGACACACCGAGCAGCAGTGTGTGGCACAACACTCCTGCACACCTTCCTGCCCCAAGCATTTGTGAGGGCTGACTGATTAGACTATTCTTAGGGGTCCATCTAAAAACTGGACCCATCACTAGCCAGTAAAAGTGGAGAATCAGCAATAAACAGTGAATGTACCGATAGGGAAAGCCCAGCAGACCAGTGTGCCACTGCCCTGGAACACTGAGGCTGATTCACTGACTTCTAATTTAGGAACTCATTCCCTCATCATAACCATCATGGGTCCACTGATTGACTCAGTATTACTTCTGCACTGAAGTCAAGGAGCTTGTGGCTTCCCAGACAAACTAAAACCAATGGCTTTCAGATGATTAGAAAAGCAAATGCTAGAAAACCAGGTTTGTCTGAAAACTCCTGAATGCTGAAGGAGAAAGTAAGTGGTTGTACACTATGAAAATGCCAAACCACATCTGAAAGAAACCTGAAGGTCTGAGCAATGTCTCTGTTTAGATCTGAGGGTGCTGGGAGCAGTGGGTACATTTGCTTTATAGCTGCTGAGTCACAGAACAGCTTACAAGAAGAACTTACAAGATTATTTATAGGTCAGGGTCCTATAGCACTCGACTACACTGCATTAGCTCTCGGACTGGCAGCCAGAGGTGAGCATGGTTTCAAGCCAGGCTGCATCTGCTGTGCAAGTTACCCAAGAACCTACAGCAAACAAGGGCAGGCAAGGAGCAGTTACTGTCTGAAATAAAACTTCATTAAAATAAAAGACAGCAAAAGGCAGACATGCATAATTTATGGTGGTAATTCTATATGTCAGGGGCTATTAGGTTCTAATGGCTCTCGAGAATGTAAATCTAATTCTGTCAGCCAGAGTAGCCAAAGAAGCACCTACACAAAACAGTCACTGTCAGAAGCCCCTTATGAATTGGAATCTATTGTAATTGTGTAGTTACTGGTCTCTGATTAAACAAAAAAATCCCCAAACAGAAAATACCAAACCATCCTGCCATCTGCCACTTTATCTTCCTGTTTTATCTCCAAAAGACAACTCCTGCTTTCCTGAGTTCACCCTGACACAGAGGAAAGTTCATAGTCACTGGATGAACTGAACTGCCTCTCTACCTTCTTCTGATCCTTGATCTTCTGGAGAATGTTGACCTTCTTCTCAAAGTAGTTTACCAGGGCTGTTTCTGTCAGCATGGAGGCCAAGATCTGCTCGAAGGAGATGGACCAGTCAGTGTCAATGGTGCTGCCATACCTGGCAGCTGCACTGCTGCCCTCACAGCCCACCAGGACCGTGTCGTCCGCAATGTCTTCACACTGCAAGGAGCCTGTGCTGACCATGGAGTAGGAGGACATGGACATATCATCTTTGGTTTCATCATCTGATAGCAGCTGTAAAGGAGAGCCTTGTCCTTCCCCCGACACATCTCCTAGAGTTTGGTTTTCCTGCTGTGTTTTTTCAGGCTGAGCATCAATGCTGGCTTTCTCCTCATGGTCAGCTTGGGGTTGCTGCTCCACTGCCGAATTCTGACTCTGTTCAGATGTTGGTGACTCCTCTTCACTCACAGGATCCTGGGTATTGTTTGCTTTGCAATCCTCAGACTTCCTCGTGGGCCTGTTGGAGAACTTTTTGCCAACCTCCCCGATTCGCAGGAGGAGACTGGCCACAGTGGCGATGGCGTGGTACAGCTCCTGCTCCACGGGGTCCTCGCTGAACATGTTGTAGAGGGTCTTGCATAACTCTATGAACTGTTCCTTTAAAAGACAAAGACCAAAAAATCATACTTCAGGCTAAAAAAAGTTTTCAGTGGCTGATGAAGCAACAGGCACCATCTCGAATGACTCATTGTTTATTTGCCTTCCCACCAAGTAAGTGGCAACTGACTGTACTGACTCAGAACAGTCTGACACAGGCAAACTCCCCTCTCTCTCCTGTAGTGGGTACATTGAGACACAGCTGGCAATTTAACAGGGATGGGTTTTTTGCTGGCAAATGAACAGAGTAGTCACATCTTCACAGCTGAGAAAATCTGAAGTTTTACTTCTATTCTGCTACTCTTCTGTGGTCAGCTGCTTAAGCATTTACAAACTGGTTTAAGTAGCACCCATCAAGGAAATTAGAGACAGAAAAGACCACACCAGTCATCTGACTCTCTTTTCTGTAACCACATTCTTCACTCTCCACCAAGCAGCTGTAACTTGAGGCAACGCAAAACCAAAAGAGTCAAACAAGTTTCTATGACCGATGGCATATCTGAGACACCCTGCTCTGGAGGGAAAACACAGACTGCAGTTCTTACAGGAAAAATTGGTCTGGGAGGAATCCAATACATTTGATTGGCTAAAACAAAGCAGTTTGCCCATACCCACTGTGGAATTTAACAGAAACGTGTGGAATTAGAGGTTCTAAAGTTCACCAGACCAGAACAGCAGGGCAAGCTACAGGTAAGGACTGAGCACGCTGGCACAATGGCTGCACATCCTGCTGAATTCCCCACTAAACTGGAAACCTTCACATGCACTTCTTACCTGGCTCATTTTGGGGAGGTCTTTAATGGTTTCTTTCTTGGACTCTTTTTCCTTGGCCCACATTCTTAGGTAGTATCTATAGTCCTGTGGACTGGTACCTTTCTCCTCTGCAAGGCAAGAACAAGCCACTAGTGAGGTGGTTAATGGTTTCAGACTTAAAAAGGGAATGCTGTGCTAGCAAAAGTCAGGCTGGAGGCAGGTTTTATTGACAGTCCAGGAAAGCATACACCAGGAAAGCTGTGTTGTTTTCTGCTGGTTTATCTGATCCAGCTCAGTAGAGCAAAAATTTTAACAGTGCTGCATCAGCTCGACTTCTCATAAATGAACTCTATGAGTTGACAACTTACCCAACATGATTTACAAACACTGTGATCTTGGTATGTACAAGAGTTGGAGCAGTAAGGAATAAGAGATTTATTTCCCAGCTCACCTCCCACTTCACCTCTGTCCACAGGGGACACTGAAATGTCTCCTTGATCAGCATGGGACAATGAACAGTTCATAACATGAGAGAGACAGACTAGAGTGTGGTCTAATGGATGATGAAATTACCTTTTTCTGGACCATTCTCATTTCTCCTTCCTTTATCTTCTTGGGTTTCTAAAAAATTACAGAATTATAAAATAACGATTAATAACTGATTTTCAGCAATACAACACACAAAGAACTTGACAACTCAATATAAAATTATACAAGAATATTTTTAATAGAAGTTAGATCACACACTCCCACATCATGTTTAGAGGAGTGAACAGAACAGGATGGAAGCAAGAGGCTGATGGGATGAGCTGGATAAAGAACCACACTCAAAAAAAGTGGGTTGAAGAGCTGAGGTAGAGGGCAGAGCTCTTAAAAGAAAGGGTTAAACACAGATATGAAAGGCAGCTAAGCAATGTGATGGCCTAAAGACAAGGAAGTT